TTATAGCAAGTTCCTGCCATAATGCGTGTGTCTCTTTTTTTGTCAATTCTGCAAAATTGTTACTTAAAAGTTGAGGGTAGCTTTTTAAGAAGTCTTATAAAAAAAATTTTTGTCTTGCAGTAACGGACACTTTTCGTTCCATTTTGACTAGTAATAACTAATACACAAAAACTCTTTGAATTTGCAAAAAAAACTATTATATCTAGGTTAATAATCACATTTCAAATGTGACATTAGTCAACTTAAGTTACGCGGGAAATTTAAATTACTTTCATTTGATTGAGCAAATACAGTATAAATATGACAACATGCTTCTCACGGTAATCCGTCGAGAATACGACTTTGGCATATATGCCGGTATACCGAGAGAAAATTTCGGGGATGTGAATGTTCGTTCTATTACAGGGAGAGCTCTCCGGCGGATATTTTCTCTCGCAGTCAAGAATAGGGGTCCTGGCATTCTGGTCATACAAAATTCATCATTTTCGCCGAAGCCTTGGCAAACATTTGTCTGATATTATCTTTTTAACAAATGTTTTAACAAAAAACTATTTTGAGCTTTAAATGCTCTTTTATATAGTATTTTAATTTTACAGAAAAATACTGCCCGTCTTGCCCCCATCCCACCTGCCGACAAACATGCTATCCCGCATGATCATTAAAAATCCAAATTATAATACAAATAAAATATATTTTATTGTATACAATTAATATACCTAAGAGAAATGAAACACAAATCAAAAAGTCTATAGTTTAAGGTAGGTTGCTGAATCCAAATACACAGTTTTTTTAACCAGGCTTTTAAATTAAAAGTATTTTATAGTATATTATGTATCAAGTTTGGTAAACGCCATTTTTGTAACGAATTTAAATTATGCGTCTAGAAAAGTTTATGAACGAGTTGCGTACTAAACTTTTTCTATTCGACAAATACTTTAATTTATATTAAATATTTGTATAGAGCGACATCTATACAAAAATAAAGTAACTTTTAGGATTGAAATCTGTATTAACGGCGGCAAATGTAAATTTTTCTGTGTGAATCAAAATGTATCCCTTAAAAATGGACTAACAACAGTTTAAATCCGATATAAAGCAGTTTTTTAAAGAGAGAGTAAAGGGAATGTTTCATGATTACTTAAAATTTAGTTTATTGCTGGCCACAGCCTTATATTAGACCGTGCTGCGGGTAAAATCAAAAGGTCAGTATAAACTTTTTAAATATTGGCGTCGAGAAACTAACTAATACTTTTGAATTTTTGTATTAAGGTAATATAATAATTTTTACATTTAGTATTATTTCACAGGAAAGGCACTTTAATTTATGACATTTGACAACTGTCAACGAACTTAAAGCTAACTTCAACCCGTGACTAAAGCGCCATAAAGCCAGAGCTTGTCAGTTTGTATATAAAAGATCACTAAGTGTCATGGAAACATGTACGATAATGGGGGTTTTAAAGGTGGTAGTGGAAAATTATTTATAAACATCATTTAAAAGTGTTAATATAAGTTGAGCAGGTCCTTAAAAAACTATCCTTGTAAGCAAGATTTATAAACAGGGTGTACAAAATTGGTATGCCCACTTTGTTTGTTCATTTACTGTCAAACGGCCGTCGTAGAGGGAGTCAAACTAGACATACCATATTATTCTTCATTAATATGCATAAAACTAATTATGGTCCGATAGATAGGGGTTGCAGATTGGCTAACAACTTCAACTTGGATTTTTTTATTAGAACTTTAATGTAAGAGAATATTAATTATTATAATGACTGTATAGTAGGCACTAATAGTAATTATTTTAATTTGTAACAAAAATTTTAAAATTTGTCAAAATAAAGTGCTCCGGTTTGCTGCTGCTTATATTTCTATAAAATGTGCGGCTTTTTGCATTAAATAGGTAAAATTAACGTTTCCTTTGGTTTCACTGTTCCTTCGATATTTCTGGCAGAATAATGTCTGGCAAAAGGTTACATGTAAATCAGCAGCGATTTATGCCAAATTTATTGAACTATTTCCAAAGGGAACTGGCACATGGGGGTCACCTACTTACATTAAATTGTATCCAAGAGGTAAGAGCTTGTTTTAATATTGTATAATTTACTGTTAACATTGATCCGTCTTGTTAAAACACCCTTCATATATTTACTTAAAATTGCACGTAATTTCTGTCGCCCCCCTGGATTATTTTTGTCAGCGCCCATGCGAGATAGTGCACTGTTATGTAACTGTATGTAACTACAACTTGATCCCCTTTGCTTACGTCTTTATCCTTAAAGGAATCTTTATCTCGATTCCACCCTGTTTTTCTTCAATATTCTCTATCAGAATTAAGGCAAAGGTTTGTAGACGATGAGCCGTAATTAGTGCTAATAAGGTTACCGTCTTTATAAAAATCTTTTCAAGACTTACTGTCTCATTGGGAAAAATTGTTGTCAAATATTTTAAAACAACTGATGGATCCCAGGTTGAATCATAAGGTGGAGCAGAGAGTCTCAAGTTGTATATTCCTTTACAAAACCGTTTTATCTTAGTTATTTCCTACATCCGGGGATATTAGGAAGGACAGCGCTGACTTGGCAGTATTTATAACACTATAATAAGCACCATCATTAAACATTAAAGTAAGAAAATTAAAAATAACTGAATCTGTTCCATTAAAAGCATCAAATTTGTTTGTTTGACAAAAAATCCACCATCTCTTCCAAGAATTATTATACTAATTGAAGAGGTAAGTATTTCTAAGGCTGCTACAGGTAAGTTTTTTCTTAGGAACGACATCCTGTTAATACTCCTTCCACCAGGGTAAGGGTCGATGGTAGAGGGTGGCATCTGTTAAAGGAAGAAAGTAAGTCTGAATTAGGGCCCAAACTTAACGGCTCGCTAATTAATAAGGACACAAAAAGTGGATACCATGGCTGATTAGGCCAATTCGGTACAACAAGTATTCCCAAGGCCTTATAAAAATTTATTTTTTGTAAAACTCTTGGAATCAACGAAAAAGGAGGAAAGGCATAAAAATAAATATTTTTCCAATTGAAAGTGAATGCATCTATAGTAAAGGCTTCTGTATCTCTTTTCCAGTAAATCTTATTAAAATAAATTGGTGCTAAGGACCATTCGGTTTCCAGCAAAACTAGACGTGATTCTTTGTCACCCTCAAAATTTTCCGAGGACTTAATTAGGTACGGGCTTCACACCAACTCCAAATTTATCTAGTAAACGTAAATACTGCATTTAATATTATTTCTACTAGGAAACAAATCGATATATGGTTTGCCAAAACTCGACAAAATCCTATTAAAATAAATTGGTGCTAAGGACCATTCAGTTTCCAGCAAAACTCGACGTGATTCTTTTTCTATCTCAAAATTTTCGGAGGCGAAGCGAAAATCCACAAATTACGGGCTTCAGACCAACTCCAAATTTTTATTGATAATTCGTAGAGATTAGGAAATTGTATGTCCCCCATTTTATTTAAGCATCAATAGCTGTGGTATTATCCACACGGAGCAAAATTTCACAATCACGCATGGTACTGGCAAAACATTTTAAGGCTAAGCAATTTATATGCATACGGCTTTCCTTCAAATTCCATTGTCCATGAGCTTTATCTTTATCATGTTCTAATTTGAAAAAAGGAATTTACAATATTTAAGTGCCACCACTTTACGTCCACACCGAGTGTGGCAGCGTTGTCATAGCTTCAAAATTGTCTGTTGAGTTACGTAAAGCTAAAAATTTATGACGTTCTAACAATTTTGTGTAAAGCCAGCCATATTTTGATGCCGGGCAAACCGAGATTAATGTCCCAGTTATCTGAGCTAGAAACCTTATTTTTACATTTGGGTTTTGTAGAACCTCTTCTAATAATTTTTTAATACGGAACTGTTTTTCTTTTAGCACCCCCAAGGACATATTTTCTGAATTAAAAAAAAAAAACAAAAATTTACATTTTTTGCTAGGCTTTGTTACACTCTTATTATCATTAATAATAAATCCTAAGTTAGTTAACAACTTTGATGTTTGTTGAATATTTACAAGACAATCTCCATAAGATTGACCATAAATTAATTTATCGTTTCAATAGGCTACCGATAAAAAAACCTCTTTCGCAAAAAGGCCAAAGAAGGTTTCATTATTTTTGTGAACACCCAAGGTACTATGCTTAACCCAAAAGGAAGACAATTAAATTCATAATAGACATGATTAAATTCAAATCTTAAGTTTTTTCTAAATTTTTTTGCTATAGGTACCATAAAATAGGCATCCTGTAAATCCTGCCATATAGCAACCTTGTTGCATTAATTTTGCAGCAAGTTTTTTTATTCTCCAATTTAAAATGTTCAGGATTTAAATTTCTATTTAAATTTTTTAAATTTAAAATAAACCGTTTTGATCCATCAGGCACTAAAAAATAAGATGACAAAAATTGTCCTTTACAAGGAAAACATATAGAGATGGCACCTTTATTAATTAATTCAAGAATGTTTAATTTAAGATCTTAAAAATCTTTAAACGACTAAATTCGGTGTTGCAAAAGAACTGATTGCCTAACAGGCACAATAAATGGGATCTGTACACCCCTGATCCACGATAAAACAACTGGATCCAATGTAATTAATTCCCAATTTTTTATGAAAAATTTTAGTCTATCTGCAATTATTTCTGAGGATAATTGTATCGGTGGTGGTTGCTTCTGGAATTCAACTTGCTTCTCGGTTGAATGTAATGTTGGCCTGTTTTCTGTCCCCCTTGTCGAGCCTGCTGATAATGTTGACGAGGAAGACGCTTGTAGTTTAAATTTTGTGGTTGCTGTACTTTTTTGTTTGAAAATTTTGACTATGTTTTAGGTTTTTTAGTCAATTTTAAATCCTCTGATATTTTAGCTAAAAGCTTCGCTGCTTTAATACGTTCAGTTAACTTATTCCCAAACAACCAGCCATCCATTGAGGATTCAACTAATGTGTCCGCCATTTCTTTATTAAGTACACCCTTTAACAATCCAATGCCTGAGATTGTTCATAATGAACATCTACAATTAATTTTGCAACATCATTAATTAGTTTTATTACTGTACATTTGGGTTCTTCTAACTCCTCCGAAAAGAGGATAGATAAAGCACTGCCTATAGAAGACAAAGCTGAGCAAAGGCGATTCTGACTGGCTAACAGGCGCGAGTCTCGGGTTAAAGACGATTCACTTAATGAAGCTTTTATTTCTGGATTAACCCTGGGTGGTGGCTTCAATGGACAGTTTGAAAATGCCTGGTATTTAAGAAGTAATTCTTCCAACTGATCGTTGGCCAAACCATCCTGTAGAATTAACTCAATAATTTTTAATATATTTTCCTCCAAAGGCGCTCCTCCTTTTCTTCCATCAATGATTCATCTTGGGATTCTGAAAACTAATTATATATTTATACCTTAAATATACCTTAAATTGTGTGACAAACAATTAAAGATTTACATAGTAAGGAAATATACAATTTCTTGATATTATTAACCTGGCGTAATATGCCATTATTGCAGCATAAAATGCTTTATTAACTGTGTAACACCCCCGTTAACAGTTTACCAATAATGGTGTAACCTAGCTTATAGGTTAGGTTTTAATATATTTACACTTTTTTACTGTTATTAATCTGGCGTAACACGCCATTTTGCAGCATAAATGTTCTATTAACAGTGTAACACACTTATTAATAGTTTACCTATTTTGGCGTAACACGCCGGCTTATAGGTTAGGTTATATTTACAGCTTCTTGCTGTTATTATCCTGGCGTAACACGCCGTAATTGCAGCATGAAAAGCTGCATTATTGTATAAAACACCCATTAACATTTTAACTATGTGTTGGCGCATAGAAAAATCAAAATTATTTCTCTGTCTTCGCGTAACACGCCGATTTTTTACCATATATTCCTTTATTATCTAAAACAATAAGCTTCAAATAAAACAATTAGATATTTACTATCACCGAGGAGTTGCTCGGAATAGACTGAATCATAGTCGTTTTCTTTGTTTTCATCCTCCAGTAATGGCGACTGTGACGCCCGTCTATTTTTCTTTTCATCTCGATAGTGTAAGTATCGATTTAATCTCCGAATTTGACGTCTTACTTTCTCTTCTGAATCCGTTGAGTCAGACGAATCTGATGATCTACTTCTTTTTGTCACTTTAATAAATTTTATTCACAGTTTTTGGCAAAACGCGTGTGTGTTTTGGTACGCACAATAGAGTAATGAATTGTAGTACAGCGTTGCCGGAGTTGGCGACGCTGTCTGCGAATATATGGCGCTAAATTTGATTTATCTTTAAAGAAGTTCGTGTTAAGGTGAGTAAGTAAAGGTACTACAGTAAGTGATCTTAAGGGCGAGATGGTAATATAATTCCATAACTGTGAATTTTCAATATTACACAAGACTATGCGTAAAGTGACGTTACTTATGTTGTCAAAAGGGTTTATGTGGAATGTCTTATATAAACTTATATACATTATTATTACTATAACTATTATTATTATTCAGTTTTATTAAATAATATAATAGCTTAAAATAAAGAATAACAGAAATTAGAATGCCGTATTGCATTACTTACTCTCTTCAAAGACTGCTAGCGTATTGAATTTTCAAATCAAGAGATTGACACTCTTTTAGATTTATGATCGTAGTGAGAATGTGGAGAGAGTAGCTTGATCCACCTACTACCAATTTACAATATTATTGGTATCTGTATAGGAGATAACCAGCGCAGTATTCTGGTTATCTTACCTGCGAGCTATCTGTTTCCACAGTAGCCCCTGGTGTCTTAATATGGCTCAGCGTTGGCATCCGCCGCGGCGCCCGATATGAGCCGTGACCCGTCTGCCTAATTGTATTACTTATTGTAGGGATGTAAATATATGCAAATTCTTTATCCGTGTCTAATATGTCAGCTTTGGGAATAATAAATAACCAAGCATAAAATACTTAATATAATCGCAAACGATATAAGGCTTTACAATAGTAAATATCCATTACTTAAATAAGGCTAACTGTCCATTGAAAATAAAAAATACATACAAATAACAAACAATAATTCAATCCTTTTTTATTATAAATTAACTTATTTTTTACAAATTATTTTAAGTAATTTAAAATTGCATCCACATATCTATCTATTTATTTATTATTATTTTTGTGAATTTGCCTAAAACTTTATAATATTATATATTATACAGGATGTTTCAATAGATGTGTCAGGGTGGAATTCCTTGTCTAATTCTAAGAAAAAAAGTTCTTATTAACATGGGTATGCAAAGTTTTTGAGATAAGGGGTATCAAAAAAGATTTGTTATGAGATTTTAGGTTTGCTTAACGTTTTTATGGCCCTAATTTCTATGACATTGGAAAAATTAGCATTTTACAAGCAAATTTTAAACTGAGAATATTATTTACATAAAAAGGTACTTTTGGTTAAAAACTCTAATTTCAACGTTAGAGAAAAACTGCATTTTATGATGAAAAACATGAACAAAGTAGCAAAGTAGAAATTAGGAGCAAAAAAACGTACAAACCCTAAAATCTTCGTCACTGGCATATGAATAAAGTACCTAATATAAATAAAAACTATTAATTTGTTTTAGATAAAAACAATTCATGCAGCTGCATAAAGTCCTATATATTTTACGAATTGGCAAGATATATTATTTTAAGCCTATTTTAAAAATGAGAAATTAATGAATAGAAAAGTACTGGTGGAAAACAATAATTGATTTATTTAAGTTCCTCATTATTTGACCGTGATTTCATTAAATCTGAATTCTTATTTCTAAAGTCTTTAGTTTAATTAAGATGTAATTAAGATGTATTGCCGTGTGCAATATTATTACCTTAATTTGTTTACTTCTGTTTTTTTTTGTGTGTACATAAGTTTTGCCAACCGATATGGTGGAATTGTCAAGCAAATCAATGGTAAGTGTAAATTATTTTATTTATAGTCATCTTATAAAGTACCTACCAATTTTATTTAAACATGTTTTATTCTTTTTCTACGATATACATACATAATGTTTTAAATGTTTTGTAAGGAAAAATACAAAATGGACAATATCATCACCTACAAAAATTAATAATTTACGATTTTTTGTGAAATGTATGTTATTTGCCCATTTATTCTTAATTAATTAATTTGTATTAACTAATTATATATAAAATATATGTATTGAATAAAAATAGAATTTATTTAATTTAAATTTATTAAATTAAACAAGTAAACCACAAATAGCAGCCGCATAAATTTTTATTTATTTTTCTGTGCTGGAAAAATAAAAAAGAAAAGCTCGTCGTTGGTGGATTTCAAAGTTATACGCAAGCAGGGAGCTTTGTATAATATACAATTTATGAAGAGGTAAGTATTTCTAAGGCTGCTACAGCTAAGTTTTTTCTTAGGAACGACATCCTGATAATACTCCTGCCACCAGGGTAAGGGTCGATGACAGAGGGTGGCATCTGTTAAAGAAAGAAAGTAAGTCTGAATTATGACCCAAACTTAATGGCTCACTAATTAATAAGGACATAAAAAGTGGATACCATGGCTGATTAGGCCAATTCGGTACAACGTATTCCCAAGGCCTTATCAAAATTTATTTTTTGTAAAACTCTTGGAATCAACGAAAAAGGAGGAAAGGCATAAAAATAAATATTTTTCCAATTGAAAGTGAATGCATCTATATTAAAGTCTTCTGGATCTCTTTTCCAGTAAATCTTATTAAAATAAATTGGTGCTAAGGACCATTCAGTTTCTAGCAAAACTAGACGTGATTCTTTGTCACCCTCAAAATTTTCCGAGGACTTAATTACGGGCTTCACCAGATTAGGAAATTAAAAAGAAAAGTAAAGCTCGTCGTTGGTGGATGTAAAAGTTATACGCAAGCAGGGAGCTTTGTATAATATACAATTTATATAATATATACAGGGTGTTTCACATTCTTGGCCCATTAGAAGTTTCTGGGGAACGAAAAAAGATATCGATTTAAAATTTTAAAAGCGTTTATAATCCATTTAAGTATATTTTTCTAAATTACCACTTCTGGTTTAACCGAAAGTGACTTAAACTTTATTATTTTAAATAGAACACCCTATATATTTTTACATTTTTGAATTCTGTATAAATTTCTGGGTAAAATTACTATACCATGTCCTCTACCTAAAGTAAATTTTCGGATATTATTTTTTTTTTCGTTAAAATTTGACAAATGCGCGTCTACCATAAATAGCCCATAACTTTTTTGTTAGTATGTTTACAGATATGACCGTAGAATTTTTGGAATCTTAAAACATTGTTCAAAAGATTCCATGTAAATTCTTTAACATTTTTAAAAAAATTACCTAAAAAAACAGGTCAAATTGGACTTGAAAGGATAATAACTTTTTTATTTTAAATGTAACACCCGGTATGTTTTCAAAATAATCAAATAGTAAATTAAAAAACCTTTCGATTAATGTAACTATTCCCTATACCCAAAGTTAATAATTTCAAAGATATTTAACAATTTCTTAAATTTTAAATAATATTTTCTATCGAGAAACCTGTGACGGGTTAGTTGACGGTATCTATGGTTACCACGTAATATGTATTTGTTTAAAATTTAATGGCCTGAATTTTTTTTAAACAATATTACTAATAAAAAATAGTGGTCAGTGACATAACAAACATTGACAAGCCAAACATATGTTAAAATATTTTATAAATTTAAAAGTTATACGTTTGTATAACTGCTAATTTTGAAAAAAAACTCAACAAAGCTGTAGGATTTCAAACTAGATAAAGCACTAGCTCATTAATGTCTCCAACTGGAGAAAATAAAATATAAAATTTATTTATGAAATATTTTAATTAAACACAAAGAGTGCGTAAATGTAAAAGTTAAATAAACCAACAATATTTATTACTAATTTTTTACTTAATATTTAAAGTGTCCTGAGGACACTGTCCTAAATTTACATTTAAGCATTTCTTAATTCTAACTTCTACATTAGGATCGCGTTCGAAAACTCTGGATACACTCCAAGTTTAACTTGCGCGTTCGAATTCTGATATATGTATATTAGGGCGGTGCGTCGGTAAAGGGAATTTTTTTTTTTTCAAAAATTAAAACGCCTGTAGGCAAAAAAGTTGGGTCATAATAAAAGACGACCGCAGATTTTTTTTTTAATTTTTCGTTAACCCCTTCCACCTCCCCAAGCCTCTTCAAAATTCCATTAGGTATATTAAATTAAAAAAAAAATTAAATACGCTCCTATGTTTGTATCTTATTGTAAAAATTAAAATATTTTTTTGAAGGTATATTTCACCCATCAGTGAGGGGTCCTCACACCTGACAGAACCAAAAAAAAACAGAAAATGGAAAAAAATATATTTCTGTTAAGATTTATTAAAAAAAGCGAATATCAATTATTAATAATAAAAATCCTTCTTGGTCTTGAACTTTGGCATTATTGCTCTGGAGTTAAGTGTATTCCTAATGACTCCATCCGTTCTATCCTTGTCACATACTTTATTGGATGCTTGTGTGACAAGCTTCACTTCTCTTTCATCAGCTTGTGTATGACAAGGATAATCACTGCCTTAGGAAATTATGGAGGAAGCAGGTTCATCTACAACTTTCTTTAACTCATCTTGAGATAAACCCCCAGTAATAGGGGACTCGCTGAAGACAATATTTTGTTAATCTACAAGTTCTTAGTACTCCACAGCATCAAAGTTGAACTCCGGAATAATAAAACTTCGAATTTTTATCTTATTGTTGGTGTTCTCATATTTACGTCGCGCTTTCAATATTCTTAGATAGGCAAGTGTTCTAATATGCTTGCGTTGATCCCAAAGCATACTTAGCAAAGCTATTCCTTTGAATAACTGGATAAACTATAGTTTTTAAATCCTCTGGTAAGTAACGACACAGCTGAATTGTTGTGTTTGATTTTAAACCACATGGGTGCATAAACTTTAATAATATATGTCGCTAATGTTACTAAATTTTCGGATGGGTTTACAGTAGCTACGTACAATCGGAGTATTGTATTCCCGGTAGTTAACCACCGAGAATGATTGAGTTTACCAGGTTTCCTTTTGGCCAAACTTGCCGAACAAATGCCGGTCATTGGCATATATCGTACATATATTTTTGATCCGAGCTTAAATTGGTATTCGAAATGTCTGGAAATGTAGACTGGATTTTTTGAAAAGCACGAGGACCAGTTGTCTTTCCATCTATGTGCTGTACCAGATGGCGCAGAGGTAGCTCATTTGCATGCAACTGGCAGATGAACCATTGCAGCGGTCTCTTTAGATGATGCTCCAATAATACAATGGTTCTTTCCTTATTTCCCTTGTTGTTATTGGTTCCATCGCAACCAACTGCTTTCAAACAATCTGTTGAAATTCAGGATGATTGCAGAAAACCATACATACTTTTTAAAATATTTTCTGCAGAACCACTTACAGGCGAAATGTGCCCAAAATATTTTTAACCAGGTTCATCTATTAGAACTACATGTTCCTCCACAACAGGTTGGGTTCTATTGTCAAGAATTGACAAAGTTATATCTTTGTGTCCATCAAAATAGAGGCCTCGCAAAGAGTGAGATTCAGTTTGGACTTTCTGGAGCTTCTTACGTTCATTATCGCGGGCCCTTCTGACTTTATATCTATCAATGATATTTTGGTTATCATCAATATTAATAATTCTATAGTCTTCTAACACAGCCGATGCTATGGCTGCACCTGCTTTATCCGATACGCCATATCTATCTTAAGTTTTTGCTAAGATTGGAATATTATTATTATATAAATTAGACTTTACCTTGTATTATTTTCCACAAACACATGTAGAAAAATTGGTACACTTGCAAGCCGCAATATCAAACAATCGTTTGCCATTTGGTTCAAAAGTTTTTAGTTTCAATTTGTACAAGGCCAATTCATTTCTTTCTTTGTAAGGTTTTAACAAGTTTTGGCGTTTGACATTGTATTTTTTAATAAGGTCGACAATTCTTTGGTGACTTACTATAGGAATACTAGCTTTTCGCCATATATCCTCAATTTGACCAGCGACAATGTCTGATGCTTTGGACACCAAGATTTTTATTGACTGATTTTGCCTCCAACGTATTTCTCATCCATAAGAAGGATTTCACAACATAACCTAACTCTTTAGGAGCTCCAAAAATAGGGCAGTTCACAATATTTCTTGTCTTATAAGATATGTTTACTAAACACAAATGTTTAAAACAAATAACGGTAAGCCAGACACAACAAAAAACACTAGAACATGTACGAATAAAAAACTTTTAAGTTCTTAAAAAAAAAAACAGCGCGAACAAGATTTTTCGTTTAGTCACAGTTTACTGTGGTTTAGTGAACTAATTAATATCAATGTTGGGATGTAGCACATGCGCGTTACGCACTATTACTTAGGTTGGGTTGTTCCTTCTGGAGAAAAATGGATAATAAGTGGATTAATTTAACATATAATAAAAAAATAATAAAAAATAATAATAATAATAAAAAATATTTTTAAAACTAAAAACGCCTGACCGCTTAATATAGATAAAGGAAAAGAAAATTGTTTAGTAAAAAAAATCGATAAGAGTTCATTTTCCACACAGAAAAAAAAAGTACATAATATTAATGTATTTTAATATTGTGACAATGTATGCGCACATTAAAATAGAGCCGATGCACAAATACATTATTATAATGTAAATGTTTCATTAATGCATGACAAATTACATTGAACAATGAAGAGTACATTGATATAATGTAACAGTATACATTGGTCGATGTATGTCATACATTTATAGTATGTACCTTATTCATTAATATAATGTACCCTGTACATTGATATAATGCACCCTATACATTAATATAATGCATCTTGTACATTGATTTAATGTACCCTTTACATTGATATAATGTACCCTGTACATTGATATAATTTACCCTCTACATTGATATAATGCACCCTGTACATTGATATAATGTACCATGTACATTGATATAACTATATATTGTTATAATTGAATATGCGTTCCACGAAAGATTGGCAGTCTTAGGAATGTGATGCAATCCTTTATTTCTATATAACGGCCAACTTTTAATTATAATAATAATGCTAGGGTTTTCCATAATTTGCAGCCGTTGCAGGCAAACGTATGCAATAAACCCTATCCCGATATCAATAAAGAGTTGGCCGTTATACAGAAATGAAGAATTGCATCACATTCCTAAGACCGCCAATCTTTTGTGAAACGCACAGTATAGGGTGTTTTTGGATGAGGAAAAAAACACATTTTTATACATATTAGATTTTTTATTTAAATACTCTTTTAATAAATAAACTTTACCAAAATTGTTTGTCGTTTTAAATAAAAAAAATGGTTATTATAATTATAAATCATTACTGATTCGGGCGGAAAATCTAAATTAAACAAATAAATACATTTAAAGCAAATATCTAATGCCCTTAATAAACTAAAAAATTTATATCGGACACCATAAAAATAAAGATAAATTTCTTTAATGTTTACCTCATCCTTTCCTATCCAAAAAATAAATAAAACTGCTGTGCATTGACTTGCTTTTTTTTTAATGATCAAGATGCTTCTCGAACTCCTCCAAAGTGGGTGAGAGGTACAGAAATGCGTCTTGTGAATCCTTTATCGTAAATTTAGTTGTCACGTTTTTTTCTGTGTTATCTTTTTTGACTATTTTGCCAGTTGGATTGCCATGGATTACCAGAAAAATTGTAGCATCTCGTGCATCTGAAACAATAGCAACATAATATTATTTCACAAGCATCTAAGGTAATTTCGATAAAAAGTGGCCTCATTTAACGTAAAGTGTTATTTTCATATATTATATGAGTACATTAGATGCAAAACTTGGTTTTTGCAAATTTAAAAAAATAAATAAATTGGCTTTAAATTCTGTTTGGTGTTCGTCCTAGATAAATGGCGTTTATAAAACTTGATACATAATAATATATATAATATAATATTATTATGTATCAAGTTTTATGAACGCCATTTATCTAGGACGAACACTAAACGGAATTTAAAGTCAATTTTATTTTATTTTTTAATTTGCAAAAACCGAGTTTTGCATCTAAGGTACTCATATTACTTTTTACATTAATAAGTGATTTTCCTTACCTTTTTTTCTATTTATCTGCTTTTTACTTTCACAATAACCACCTGATTCGACTCACAAACACAAAAGAATAATAATTTCAATTTTTTCTTAGGGTGTGGGCTCTGGAACAGAAACAAATACGTCCTTGCACTGTTGGCTAGTAAAGCGGGAAGCTATATAATTAATACTCTGTAGGCGTTTATAACTTTGCACATCAATACAATGTATTAATTTATTGAATAATGAACAATCTACCTTGATTAATGAATTTATACATTGATATAATGTATTAAAAACATCAATTAATAAACCTGAAACATTGGTTAATGTATTTATACATTATTATAATGTACGTTTTTTTTTAATGATTTGGCTAAAGTTAATGTATATATACTTTAGTTAAATGTATTTTTACATGAATTTAATGTATTAATACATTGATATTATGTAAAATTGTACATTATATTAATGTATGCTATACATAATATCAATGTACGTGGTCATGAGCTTATAAAATTTAAACATTCAATTAATGTATTTATACATTTTATTTATGTATAACCACATTAATTTAATAAAATATTGGTCAATGTTTGGCATACATTGATAATATGTAATTATTTTTTTCTGTGCACCTCCCCAAAGCTGTTATTCCCTCCCTAACTATTTTACTCTGGGGAGGTGGAAAACGGATTTTTGTCATAAAGGTAAAAAAGTTGTATTTACTACTAGTTACTTAACAACTTTTCCGCGCACAGGCGTTTTCCTAAAAGTAAAATCTCGCACCACCCTAATATATATATGAGGCATTCGATGTCAACTCGGCCACCCCACCCCTGTGCAAAATTTACTAAAGTTTTTCGAAACTTGCAATTGATAAATTTTTAGCTTATCGTCTTAACTTTCAAATGCCGAGTGGTATTTTGTAAAATTTCAAAATGGCGGTGTCAATATAGCGACTGTAAGCAATAGACATGACTTAAAAAAAAAGCGTATTACGTAGTTTACATTAACTAATAGCGTTATAAAATTAAAAATTGAATTTGATTATATGCACTAATCTATTATAATAGATTATCAGTGATTCTATATTTTTTTACCGCTGATTACACAATGGTTCGCCCCTAACCCCAAAAAAACTTAAAAAGCAGATGATTTAGCATTTGTTTTTTGTATTTCTCATTGCCTAATATAAATATGGCCTTACCTCAGAGTCGACATAAAACTGTACGTTCCTAACCTAAAAGAACTCTCAAAAAATGTATTTTTACCTTCTTTACAGCTGTTTGAAGCATTTTAAAGATTGGCATATGGTTACATTTTTATACTTTTTATCGCCAAGTACGTTAATAATCCAACTATTAACTGCAGACTAAGCAGTTTACCCCTAACCTTAAAAATATTTTCTAAAAATTAGTTTTCTGCATGCTGCATGCTACATGCTGAAGAAAATTGAAATATGGGATGTATAGATTTATTTTCACACTTTTTATCGCTGAATACGATTATAATCTTTCTTTGACGGCAATTTTTCGTTCACCTATAGGCTATAGTATAGCATAAATGCAATAAAAATGAGGTTCAAATCATATGTTAAAAATATTTTTTATATAGCAGTTATAACATAAGAATATGCGAAATTTGTAATAATCTACATCTACCGTTAATTAAATTCGTACCAAAAATAATATTCTTTTGTGGTATTTCCAAATAAAAATTTACTTTTAAAAAAGTATTCGAATTTAATTATCGTTAGAATCTGATGTAGATAATTACAAATTCAGCATATTGTTATGTAATAACTGCTATAGTAAATATTTTTAACATATCATTTAAACCTCATTTTTATTGCTTATATGCAAAGTTTTTTAGGTTACAAAGAACTGCCATCAAAGATCATAAACATTTTTAGCGATAAAAGTGTGGAAATAAATCTATAAATCCCATATTTCAACTTTCTTTAGCGTCTGTATACTGCAGAAAACTAATTTGTAGAGAATATTTTTAAGGTTATGGGTAAACTGCTTTGTGTGCAGTAAATAGTTGGATTATTTACGTAATAAAAAGTATAAAAATGAAACCTTATGCTAATCTTTAAAATGCTTTAAACAGCTGTAAAGAAGGTAAAAGTACATGTTTTGTTAGTTCTTTTAGGTTAGGAACGTACAGTTTTATGTCGACTCTGAGGTAAGGCCATATTTATATTAGGCAATGAGAAATACAAAAAACAAATGCTAAACCATATATCAAAAATGCATTAAGCGGGTGTAAATTACGAGAAACTGCTTTTTAAGTTTTTTTTTGAGGTTAGGGGCGAACCAAAAATACATAGAATCACTGATAATAGATCAGTGCATTAAATAAAATTCAATTTTTACTTTTAAAGTTATAAAGTTATAAAGTGCTCTTTTAGTTCCACCCTTACATCCAAACTAAGATGTCCCATAAGCCAACTGAATGGCTTGTGCGGGTTAGGGGTAGGAACGGACCGACGGCTTAAAGTCCCCTCCGAAGGACTATACACAATGGACAAACACAAATAAACAACCATACCCAAGTGGGATTTGAACCCACGACCTCTCGGCTCGTACCCAGGAGCTCTGACCACTACACCACCGAGGCCGGCTATATATATATATATATATATATATTAGAGATGCCACGAATAGTTATTTGGCCGAATACCGAATACCGA